ATCCATTATATTTTTAAATAATCAAAAAAATTTTTATAAAAAATAAATCAATTAAACTCAAATGTTATCATTATTTGTTCTATAAATCGTCTAAATATACAAACACAAACGTAACGCTGGTACATTTGATAAGTGGGCGTGTCATTATTTGCTTTTATACATTCAATTTTGGCCCATTCTCATGCCTTTTGATTTGATATTGTCCATTAATGTCTCAGTACATTCGTTCATCCATTTGTTGTTGCTGTTGGAAGACACGTGACTTGTGCACCCTGTGCGTTAGTTTTGTCGCGCGCGTATTTTTAAATCAAATTCTAACACAAACATACATACGTACAATGAAAATGTAGAATGTTTTTGTTTTTAGTTGTTGTTTGGTGGTAAACAAAATATAAACGCGTGTTGTCAATAAGTCCTCAATCACTTCCGCTTCAGTTCAGCTCCGTGATTTAGCACAAATAAAATTTTGATTGCCCCCGCAGTCTGGATGACATGTAATTATGTAAACCCCAAATGATGTTAAAGCTGATGTGGATGATGAGGTGATATTGCAGAAGAGTTTTTTCTTTTGTTTTTATTCTCTGATGGTAAAGAAGTGATAAAAATTGAATTTTAAGAGTTCCCAAAAGGCTTTATTAATAAGAAATTTCCTTGTTATAAGTTTTCATTTAAGCAAGGCCGTGATGGTATGATGTAATATTTCGATGTTTAATATTATATAAAACTCATTAGTACTCCTTGAAGACCTAATAGTCCTTTCGTATAGATTCTCATTCAATCCAAAATGAGATTTCTTTATAGTATTTCCCATTACAAATAACAAAAATGTTATTAAAAAAGTCTATATCGTAATGTTTAAGCTCTAAAATCCCGCCAAAATACAATGATATTTATTTTTTTACAAAACCGGAAATGATAAAATCTTATAGGTTTTTTAAAGCTTAGACACACACATGCTTAAATCATTTACTACATTTCTCTTATACAAAAAACTAGTTTTCTTGACCATTCATAATTATGCTCTATATTCCATTACTTTATATCCCCCCTCTCCCCAAACCGAGCCAAACCAACAACAACATAATACTTTAAGTTTGGTTAGCCATTTAGTTTGTTTATTACTTGCTGTTGTTGTTGTTGCTCTTAATGTTACTGTAATAATATATCGCCAAATAATAAAGTGACAAACGTTACAAATCAAAACACTCGACACACGCCACTACACAGGGTGTCCTTTAAACGGCCAGAATGAGCAGCAAGGAGAACACAACAGCAAATCGTATTTCATAAATAATGATGACAACTTAAACAACAACGAACAATGAAAATGATACGAATGATGATACAGCACAAGAATGCACAGGAAACGAAGAATAATATTCACTTCTAAGGAAGGGAAGTGGAGAACAGTGGCAGGGTTGTTAATAAGCAATGTTTTTTATTATGAAAATGATGTGCGTAAAAATGCAAGTATGTCTGTATGAATGTGTGTGTGATAGTAAAATGGTATGTGTTTTATATGAATTTTGAGTTTTTGTGAATTATTATTTACTTTCTGCAATTTTTTTTTTGCTTTTGTCAGCCGAAACGGAATTGGTAGTTTTTTTGTCACCAACTTTTGCAACATTTATTACTAGGGACGTGTGCCAGTACAGTATCTTTTATTTTGTATAATCACTTTCTTTTAGCTAGAATACTGGAGGTCAAAGTTCAAAATCTTATGTAGCAGTTCTTTTATAGATATGATGTGAAAATTTAGGATCAATAAAATGAAGAATATTATCAATTTGGAGAAGTTGTTGTTTAGAAATGGTTTAGGATATTATTATTTCTATAGATCCCCTATAATAGAAATATTGGTAATACCTTGTTAATAACCTCAAAGTACACCGAACAGTTCACACTTTTCTATCCGTTACACAATGCAAGAAGAATCTGTCAAAGCTGCGTCGCCTGTCTGACATTACACTTGTTTGGTTCTCGACGCATAGGGACTATTATGGAAATGAACGGGCAGATGAGCTTGTCAGGACGAGATCTGCTCTTGATATCTCCAACCCCGTTTCAGTAGCGACTCAGATTCTTACATCAGAAGACTGAAAATAGATGAAATAAGCTAGGCACATGTAAGTTAATAGGATACTGGGTGCTTGACAGATATGCAAGTCAGCTTGGGCTCCCCTTTAATGAGTACTTTCGCTGTCGCAAAGACAGGGAAAAGGAAGAAACGGTCTTCCATCTTCTCTGTGAATGTCCTACTCTAGTCGCTAAGATAAACTGCTTTCTTGGCAGTTACTTCATATCCAACATTGATGAGATACCTGAGTCTAAGCCTCTTTGGAGTCTCTTCGATACTACGTGACTGTTCAATAATTTTAATATTGATAATAATAATTTTAATTGATTTAGTTATGTTCGTACTTCTATCTGCCTGTCCACCTACGGATCAAACTACACTACTACAAACAAAATCTATTGAAAGTGGTTGAAATCGGACCATTATAACCATAACTATGTATGAAATTTCAGTAAAAAATCGGACGTGCCTGATCGCATACCAAACACAGAATATGTCGGAAACTTTGAAACGCTGATCCCAGATAGAATGTCTTGATCAAGCGGAAAACTAGAGTAGGAATCCGTTGTTATACGGATGGCTCTGAATTGGGGGATAAATTGGGCCTGGGGTTCTATATTTAAGACCCAGAAACAGAAATATACTACCGTTTACCTAATCATAACACAAGCTTCCAGGCAGAAGTCCGAGCAATAACGGAATGTGTAAATTAGATTAGAATAAATATGGCGCCCACTGCCCTTATTATATTCACCGACATCCAGAAGGCAATTAGGGCGATATCAGGTGATAGAATTAAATCTAACACCGTATTGGATTGTAAGAAAGCTTTAACTGAATACTCTCCCAGAGGTAAGATTTACATCATATGGGTACCAGGGCACTCGGGAGTAGTCGGCAACGAAAGGGCGAATGTAATAGCTTTAAAGGGAAGAGAGCTCGAGGTAGTTAACCTGACGAACGCAAAACCATTCGACGCAACAAAAGCTGAATTAAAAGTATGGGTGAGAGAATCCCATAAGGCCTCTTGGAATAATGAAACGGTAAGTAGAACCACAGATCCTATGGGGTGACCATGATGAGAACAAGACGAGAAATCTCCTCAAAATGTGCAAGTCTGAAGTTAGTATGATGGTACGTATTCTTAGTGGACACACAGGATTACGAGCACATTTATACAAAATTGGCCGTGCGGATTCAAAAGAATGTAGAGCATGTGTAGAGGACAGTGAAACTCTGGAGCACATTCTTTGGCACTGTCAAGCATTCGTCGAAGTTAGATCCAAGTATCTTGAAAGCGATGTTATTCCGGAAATAACATTCCTGACTAAAACTGATTGGAAAATTCTCAGGAATTACGTCCAGGAAACTGAGTTTCTGAACATTGAAAAATAATATACTCAGTGAACAATTTTTTTTTTTCATGAAAAGGAAAACAACAGGCCCGATAGTGGCCTAGATGTATTTCTTCGGATTTGATGTACTATACATCCTCTTATCAACCTAACCTAACCTAACCTACTAAAATTGTAGATGTTTTTTAAATATCAATTTTCTTTTTATCGGACGTACAATTCAAACATACTTTCACAAATAAGTTACAATGTTGTTAAAACAGTTTTCTAATCATATATCCAGCTGTGATAAAACAGTAGAGTTAAAAATGTTGTTAAAACCGTTTTAAAGGCGATAAGACAGTATTTCTTCAGTTTATACAGTACATCCATGCATTACTAAATATGGGTTAAACATATAAAACAGTATTTTAATCTGTTTGTGATAACACAGTTTTATGTAGATAAAACAGTACCCAGTAGATAAGACAGTTATCACTCAATGATGGTGGATGTTTGAAAATTTTCTGGTGTTTTACATTACTAAGTAAACATGCATTCAAGGCTGCCAGATTTTGTATATTAAACCAAAACTTTGGAAACCAAGTAATTTTGAAACAAAGATAAGATAAAAAATCATTAAAATTTGTTCAAATTTTAAATAAAATTTAAATAACTTTTAATTTATTTAAATTGTTAGTCGATTGCAACATTTTATAACTACATGTTAAATCCGTGCTTGAAATCAATTTTTTATGGTTAATATGTGCAAATAATGTTCTAGCTTTATAACGGTTATTTTTAAATACAAATGTAACATAAATTAGTGAAGACAATGACAATATTCCTTTATTTTCCTTAGACCAAGTTATTTTAACAATACAACAACTTCAAAGCTTTCCCTACCCACTCACTATCTATCACTGTTATACATTAAAAGCTTAAAGTACTAAAAGCTTTTTCCACACTATTTTGCTAAAGTAAATAGAGAACGTAAGAAAATTTGCTGAATTTAACTAATTTTGTGTGTATGTAGCTTTGTGTGTGTAAGTATTTTTCTTCTCTCATTAATGATACTAAAAAGTAAAATAGTCTTTGCTGCGCTGACGTTAAAAAGACGAGACGTTTATAAAAAAAGCAATTTATTTTTTTGTAAAAATTTATTTTATAATTATTTTTTTATTATTTAAAATAAATAAATAAATACAAAACAAAATAACTCAATAAAAACAATAAATTAAACGTAAACAAAATTATTTCCAAAGAAAGCAATTCAAATTAAACAAATAACAAGAAACGAAAAGTATTCAAAGTGTTTTCTGCTAAAGTATTCCAAACAAAAAAGTTCCTGTATAACACGAAAAAATACAAAAAACAACAACCGACCAATTTGCAGAAAAAAAAAAGAAAAGAAAATAATAAATGAAAAGAAAATTATATACAACCACCGTGAAATGAAAAATATGAAATAAGTGAGTTTTGTGGAAATCGAAAATTTATTTTTCAAATCAGAAATTTTCCAAAATGCCATAAATCTTGAGGAAATAAATAAAATTTTGTTGTTTTTGGTGATCACATTAAATATTAGTGGAAGAAAATTAAATAACAACAACAAAAGAAAACAAATTTAATAATAAAATAAAAACAACAACAACAAAAAGTAATACACGGTTGCCAAGCATCATCATCATGTTCTTAATCATGCACATAAAAAAGCGGCATTTAAGGGGTCCCACCATACACAACAAAAACACACACAACCTCAGACAAACGGACGGACACATTTGTTGTATTTCTATCACAACAAACTATTTTTTATTTAAGTTTTTTCTTTTCCAATAATTTCCTACATTCCCCCCACTCCCTCTTAATTTTATATTAAAAAAAACAAACAATCTCTAAGAGCCATAGAATTTGTTTGCAACATAAAAAATTCTTTAACATAAGAATAACCAACTAAAAAAATACACATTGTATAAAAATAGAAAAATCAATTCCATGATGATAATATGGGCAAGGAACTACTAACCATTCATGTGAAAAATTTCAAAAAAAAAAAAGAGTGCCACACAAAAAATGAGAACAGCGAAAAGGGAGAGTGAGTGTGTGTCTTTAAAATGAGTGAATAACGGAAAAGTTGTGTGATTAAAAGAGAAATTGCAAAAGAGCGAGAGAAGAAATTAGTAATGTTTGTATGTGTTTAGTAATATTACTAAAAAGCTTTTAGAAAACTTAGTACTAAAATAAGTAAATAACGGTATGTTTTCATTTAGGTTGTTGTGAAAGTAATTCAGCTTTTTTATAGATTGTTTTTCAGTGAGCAACTAGGGGTGAAGTATTTTGGTACAATTCTCTGTCATATTGTAATTAGTACCAGAAAAGTTTACTTCAGTAATCCATCGAATTATTGAAACATTATCACGTTCAATATTGTTATCTGTGACTTTCATCAGGTAATTTTGTTATTAAAGTTCTCGTTACGACTTAACTTCAAACTATTTTCTTTGGGTTACATTAAATCACTGGTCTCTCGGTTTTTTTGATGGGACCAGCATCCAGGTCATGTTCCCAACTTATGATGTGCATTGTGTTGCAATTAGAAAAAAAGTTTGTTGGACTGACGATGAAAGGAGTAGTATTCGTAGACATTTGATTTAAGTCTTCTCATATCGAAAGTGTTCTACAGGAAGTTTGCTCCACGTACGGTGTGACTGAAGAATACATTCGCACTCCACTGTAGTACTTGACAACTTTAAAATAGATCTCGAAGCTTCGGCCTATATACATACATATGTATGTACACATGAGAATTGTAGTTGATCGGATGGATGCTTCAACATTATCTGCCATGCGTTTACATATGTATTGAGTCTTGGGAGAGTTAAAATCGTATCTATTAATACGACTCCATTCAGAGATTTTAATCAAGTTGTGTTTAAGCGATCCGTATTGGACTAATCTCCAAAGGGCTTGGCATATAATTAAATGAATAGAAATGGCTGCTTTGCGTTACCCCTCGTTATAATTTCTATAGAGAAATAACTAATAATATCGAAAGAAATTTTTACCGACACCAATTGTAATTAGTGTTAATATGTCATACTCTATCAATCCCTTTGGAAATATCTAGAACCAACACTTTCCTTTTACCAAAATGTTGCATGAAAAGACACGATAGGTCTCCCATAGAGTGATCTTTATGAAAGCCATACACAGAGGGAAAAATATACACGCCTGGTACCAAATTGACATCAAATTTTTCAATAACATCTGTTTGGCAAAATTTATGAGCATCGGCCCTTAATCGAATCAATCATTAATCTAAAGGATCGATCCATAATGATAAGATTCGACATTGCATAACATACATAACACTCTTATATGATAATTTTTTTTTTTTTTTCAAAATATTTTCCAAAAAGTACCGTTTCCCAAAAGTCTTGGTACATTTTCCTATTACTTCTCTGCATCACTGATAAGAACGAAAATCAAAGAGAGATATACAATAAAAGCTAAAAAGAAATAGAGAGAGATAAACTTAATGTAAAATACATAAATTTTGTATGATTTTCTTAGGGGAGCTTCCTGTTATTTTTGTTTAGGTGTTTTTTTCCTACTTGTAGTTTCGTTTAGTTTTCCCCAAGATGCTTGCGGAAAATGTGGAAAAACAACGACAGTTTTCCCAATAATAATTGCGTGTTTATGTGCGTGTTGTGTTGTGTCATATCACAAAAATCATAAAAAATGGGGTGTTCCTTTTTCAAACAACAATAACAACACTCAAAAATAAAATAATCCAAAAAAGAAAAACAACAGCAACAAAAACCAAAAAAAAAAAAAATAGTATAAGCTAAATGGAACAACACACTACACCAAATTTGTTCAAAATAAAGTGCTAAAATACGACAACAACAAAAGAAAATATATAATAAATAAAATGAAAAATAAAAATAAAATAAAAACCCTTAATCAAACATTAACAAGTTAACGATTAACAAAAGCAAAAAACCCCCAAATGAAATTATATTTGTTTATATCACATCAAGGACTACTTTTTGAAAACAAAGAGGCGTTAACCCTACGAAAATATTATTAAGGCCTACAGACAAAATGCCGACAAATGTGACCTCATAAATTAATGGCCAAATAATGGTAAAAACAAAAAAAAAGTACAATTTAGACTGCAACATATTTAGTGGAAAAAAAAAACAATTATTAGATTTCAAACAACAACTCATTACCTTGTTGGTTGGGCCAACAGGAGCAGAACAGAAATAAAATCTTGGCAACACATAAACGAAGACAAATCACATTTTCATTTACACTTGCATTTGCCGCAGTCACAGCCAACGCCACTGCCAGCATATCGCATTCCCATAAAATGGGCGAAGTCAGTCAGTTAGTTAAAGTGTCTGTGGTGGCCTACTGACTAATTTAGAGACAACATCTGTCTCCACATACTCCTTCTAGTTTGCTTTTTGGCTTCTTCCTGTTCAACAACCGAACGACCAAGAGACAGACAGACAGACAGACGATACCACAAATCTCCCCCCTCCACCTGCTGCTTTTAGTTTTGTTCTTTATTTTCATTCTTCTTTCACTTATTTTTCGGATTTACTGCTTTTCGTTGAATACACACACAGCCCGCCGTTTCATTTACAGTTATTTCATATTAATAAGTGAGTGAATGTGTATGTGTATGTGTTCCTTTTGTGTCTGTGTATTTTTTTTTAAAGCAAAAAAAAACGTATAAATGTCAGTTATTCGTTATTCGAATACTTGATTTGCTTAAATTAAATCCTTATTTTAACCCTATAGGTGTTTCAAAAGACAGTGAAGCAAATCATGATTCCTTTTAGTTTTGTCTTGATTTTATTTGTTTATTTATCCATTTGAAACCTTGTGTTTAAACAATTTTTTCAATTATCGAAATTGCACTGAATTCTTATCTATTCCACCTAATACCATCCGATCTATTATCGAAATTGTACTGAATTCTTATTTATTCCACCTAATTATTAAGTCCTAATACCATCCGATTCAACTTATCTTATAGGTTCAAAACTTTGCAGTGCGATAAATGTTTAGCTACCAAACTCCTCATAAGTCATGCAGACTAAATTTTTTTTTAATTAGCATCTCTCAAATTGTTTATATTCTAAAGATTAAAACCCACCAGATTTGTATTTGTTTTGAACCGAATCGGACGAGCAAGTTGTTCTCCCGTTTGGATCTTGATTTCCCAAAGAGAAGAACGTACTGTTGAATTCACGACCAATATTCAGATGAGTTTCAAACAAAATCACAAAATTGTTTATACCTCTATATTTTTACTCCAAATTAAAAATAACTGACAGTAAAAAATGTCCAAAAACTTCTATCAAACATTAGAGGGTTAAATTATTGCTGTTCATATAACGAATACCGATTACATTTTGTGTTCTAAATGACTCTGCGCAGTTTCAGTTTTTCCTTTTTTATGTTATCCAGAGATTCCTTAATCATAATCATCATCATTACCATATACCAAGGCATAACTTCACTTTCATAGACCAACTAACCATCAGGAATAAAAAAGAAAAAAAAAACGAAACGAAAAACTCATTATAATGGTGACTTAAATACAAAAGAACTATAAGAAAAATGAAAGAAAATCGAAAAAATTAAGGACATTTTTGATCTATAATAAATAAATGCCCTCGGGGTCTATTTAAATGAAAATTGTGTTCTCTACAATCAACAGAAAAATGAGTTAAGAAAACGGGTCATATCTCTTGTGTAAAAAAAATCTCAAACCAAAAAAAAAAAAACGAACAAAATCTTTCTAATCACACATACATTCCTTTAAAGAAAATCCTGGCAGCTTCCTAATTACTAATACATACATACATATATAAAAAAATTCCAACTAAACTTAAAGGCCTTAAAAAAATCAGTTAATACTTGTATAAATGTAAAAAATTTGTTGGTATAATTGTATCTAAATATTTTATTTTAGTTTTTTGCGGTCCCAGTTTCAAAATTCTAAAACAAATAAAATTTATTAACAAACAATAAGAAAACATAATAATTGTGATTTTAAAATCATCAATTATTATAAATCAACTAAAATATTATGGGCTGTGGACAAAGTAAAATCCATCTTTATCCTAGAAAATCGAAAAGTAAAGCGAATGGCAAGAAAGGAGGGCATGGTAAGTACTGAGAAAATAAAATGAAATGAAATAATGTTATAAAGAAACAAAAAAAGTTATAATCACACATTTTTATTTTAAAACTCCCCACCCCACCCTTTTAAGTACCCCACGAACATACACACACACATTTAAAACTCACATGTACATATGTTTGTCAGTGAGTATGTGTTCGTATATGTATAAATATTCATTCATTTATACAAATTCTTCATGCGAAGGATACTACCACCACCTGTTCCTTTATCCCAACACTATTTTGTATAATTGTAGTTTGGTTCACTTATTAGATCAAATTATTTAAGTTGGGGTCTTAAATAGAGACTTGAAACACTCATGGCATGTCTAGTGTTAATGGGTTTTAATGTTGCAGTTCTAAACGAGTAAATAATATGTATTAATCAGTTATTTGAATTTAACATGTTCTCAACTATTAGATATATAGACATACAAACATATATTCAAATGTACATATGTATATATGTAGGTAACATTGGACAGACATACAACTAATTGCAACGAATGAATGTTAGTTTTTGTTTTAATCTTAAACTATACACTCGAAGAAAGTGATTAATTTAACGTATACATTTCAAACTGAAATTATTTAAATATATGTATGTACATACATAAGTACATACTGCTATATACTTACATTTATAAAATATATTTCTTTGGTTTGGGTTTTATAGGAATTTCAACACGATTTTGCTTTTGCTGACATCATAGCTATTGTGAGCTGAACTTTTAATGGAAAATTTAATAAAACAGTTGTCCTTTCAAAATATGGTTTAAAATGATTTTTTTTAATTTTCAAAAAAAAGACGAGTATTAAAATTCAGCAGCTTGTATGTAAGCAATACCATTTCCGGGGATGTTTACCATCTTTAAACTAGGTGGCCAAACATTTTGAACTAGAACTCTTCTGGATATGTTATAAACAGATATCTGTAAAGAATATTAAGAATTCTCAACAAAATTAGGGGCTTAATACCGATAAGCTTGTTAGAATTCCGCTTGTTTACAAGTGATGAAATCAATAGTGAAATTTTGTGGAGAATATTGCTTTGAAACCAAACCCAATCAAGAGATACAATTAAAAAATCTTTGAAATGAACGAAAAATTATACTTTGTACTAAAAAAAAGAATAATTACCCAGCAGTTCGACAAAGAGTCGAACCATATGGTTGACCCTAATTCCTATAAATTGGATTATTCGTCACCAACGTAGTCTTCGCAAACGAGAGCGAAGACAGTCGTCACTTTACTGTACCATAGGTAAACGAGTGAGGGGTCACTTAAAAATTGTTTTTTCCATTGTACTTCAGAATGTAGATATTTTACACATTTATTGGAGACACAATTGTTATTTTCCACTAAAGTTTAACCATCTGGTTGTACTCTATTTGAATGTTTTGGCCATTTGTCACGAAAGCACTCTTCGTAATCGAGAGTAAAGACAGTCGCCACTTTACTATCCCGCCGAACTGCTGGATATTCTTTATTATTATAATCGCTCAAATTGTCGTCCAATAGAAAAAATATTGGTTATTTATGAGAGTATATCATACACGATTTATACTGATCCATATTAATATGAATATCAAACGTAATGTCAGAATAATACCTTAATAGTGTGTTGGATCAATTACGTATCAAGCTCTACAAAATTTAAAAAATAAAAGAAACAATTTTTTGATGAATTTTATCTGAAACGATTTATGCCCGTAATTTCGTTAAATCGGTATCTATCAGTATATATTTAGCTTTGGTGTACAAATATTTATTAAGTTTAATCCATAGGAACTGATTTGATATATGATAATACTAGATATTTTAGATTATAGATATCTATTTATTGAAATTACGGGCATTGGAGACAATAATTTTCAATAAGCGGAGTTATGTAGGGGCTAAGCTTGAGACAATAATGGGCCGATCCTCTTGAAAGTTGATAAAGATATTATGGTTCTTATAAAATCTTGCTTGTACAGAATTTTACTGCTATGGGAGTTACGGTAAAATATGGACAGAGGTTTATCAAAATTTACAGTGTAATTTCTGGGTGCATGAAAATAACTTATTTAAAGTATACAATATTTATGTAGTGCCTACTGGAAACTTCTTTGCGGGTGAAATCGTGGTTCTATATTGCCCATTATCTATACCAAATTTCAGATTTGTAGATTCTTTCGTTCGGACCCTAACGTATTTTCTACATACAGACAGACGGTCGTACATGTGATCGTCTTATAACCTCAAAAGGAACTCAAAATATGTATACTTTTGTGGGTTTACTACTGATTACAAACGGAATGACGAAATCATCTTTAAACTAATGAGTATACATATAAATATTTATCAGTACCTATATTCATCGGTATATGTACCAGATAAATTTTCGCAACTTCCTTAACCAAATACTCTTCTCGTTATGATTCGCTGGTTATAAAATAAGAAAAAATCTTTTAACGGTCAATTAATTTATTAACATAAGTACTGTTTTTCCTATTATTTAAATAAATAAATGATCATAACAATTTTAACAAATAACACACAGATTTAAATGTTAATAACACTACGTTTTCTCATCTCCGCACAACATTCTCTCCATTTTAATTGCAACATTCTAGCCAATATTTTGTTGCAAACCAACATTGCAATTGTTTTTTTATTAAAAAATGTTTTCTTTCTTTTCCCATTTACGTACCCGTTTATTTTTTCTTTCCTGTTTGATTGTTTTCGCAAATTCGAAGGACATTAAAACAGTTGAGCAGAATAGAAAAAAATAAATAAATAAAACTAAGAGAAACACTTTGCAATGACTGATTGATTTTTACTAATTTGTTACTTGATTGAAAGGAAGAGGAATACAGACACTACAACAACATTGTTATCCTGGTATTTTGTTGTCGTTGTCATACATGTGTATGTATGTATGTATGTATGTATGTATCTACATGTGCAAATTGTAACAGTGGCAGTATCATGATGAGTTTGTTTGATCGAGAAAGGACGAGGAGTATGGACGCATAGAAGTAACGACAACAATAAATTGCAAAAGATACACATGAATTGTCATCAAGTGTAAAAAGAAAAAATAATGAAAACAAAGGATTCAGGTCATGCAAAAATATTTCTATTTGTTAAGGTATTATTGTACTTAAAAAGATGTAAAAAACAACTACAATAACAAAAAACACTATATGAGTATTATAAAATCAAAAAAGTTAAGTGTTTATATCGATTAATATGATTAAAACGAAAACATATAACGTACGTATAACGAATTATTGAAAAAGCATAAAAATCTAAAGCGATTATCTATCTTAATCCAAACTTCGAAATCAACTTATCTCTCTACTATGCAAACCGTAGATCTTATTAATGCTTTTCTGCTAACTATGTAGGATCCTCTCTTTTAAAAGTTTTATTTTGATTTTAAAACTAAAAATAATTACCTTTTTATATATATCATGTTCTAATTAAGATTTTTGTTTAATTTTAGGCGATTCAGAAGCCGAAACAGACGAGGAAGAAGGTCATATTGAAGATGCCGAAAATCGAGATCGTGACAGAACTGAAGAGTCTGAAGAGAATAGCAATAAAGAATCGGGGGAATCGGATGAGGAGGTATCGGTGTCCTTATTGAGAGCGAGAAATCTCTCGTTACTACAAAGCCAGTGAGTATATTTGTAATGTAAAATCAAACATACCTAAATACTCTAATAATTGCCCTGTTTTAGGGAAATTTCCAGTAGTCAGCAAAACTTTTTCCGAATGCTAGACAAAAAAATTGAAGAGGTAATTTGTTTTCTTTCAAATGCCAACAAATAGCTTTAAAATTTGTTTAAATTGATTATAATTTTAGGGTCCTGACTACGATTCCAACAGTGAAACGGAAATTGCTCTGGAAGAAGCTCGTTTAAATGCTTTGGTGCAACATTGGGAATCGGCCAGTTTGACGGCATCAATGTGTTCCTCGGCCAGCCGATCGCTGCAAACAACACCGGTGCGGCAGACACCAGCCAAACAATTGACCACGGCCACGCGGGCTTTGCTGCCAACCGGTTTACCACCACAAGTTCTAAACTCAGAGTTTCTACCTCATCCTGGTACACCACCCACAAGCAGCCAACTGACGGCCGGTGGTACACTCAAACTAACGCCTAGTAAACAAATAACCATTCCTCAAATGAATTCTGGCATGTTGCATCAAATATCGGTTATGCCGCAAATACCCTTAAGTTTAAACACCGAGACATCGTCGCCCAACATGGCCACCGTTACCGCTAATACGTCCAATGCCCTGGCAATAATGCAGGCACCCAATGCACAAACTACGCCACAATATATGCTGGCCATTCCGACAGGGTCCTCGCCACTCTTAGGAAAAACTGGACAGGTTAGTCCTAAGCGTTTGGTTGACGGACGTTTATTGATCAATACGACGAGTCCATTGTGTAGCACACAACAAATGCAACCACCCCCGCCGACCAATCCTATACAACAGCAGTATATAACCGCTACCCCGCCAAATTTACAACAACAGCAACAACAAACAGCCCCATTAAATTATGTCAATGGTGGACGAGCGCCGCCACCAACCCAATCGGCGGTGGGCATGCAATTGGCATACTACGGACAGGCTGCAACAATGCAACAGACTATGCAACAGTATAGTGATACGATAACACAACAACAGTTGCAACAACAACAACAGCAGCAGCAACAACAACAGATGCAGCAGCAACAATATGAACAAACTCCACATAGCCAAAGTCAAACACCCTCGTCATCAACATCGGTAGGATCAGCTGCCTATTATGGTGATGTCATGCATAACGCTCAGGCAAGTATGGTAATTGTTGGTTAAAAACAACATTAGTCCACTATTTCCCAAAACCTACAAAGAAATTCAGTTTTATTAGCAGTAGAAAAATAAAGAAATCCTATAAAATCATAAATAAGATCAAACCTAAAATACACGTGACTTTTTTTTTGTTTCTTTTTAACTTTTCCCATTCTTACGTTGAATATATGTAACTGCTACAATTTTCAATCAAAGCATTGCTTTTAAATATTTCTAAAATTAACATTTTTACAACACAAAATTCCAATTGATCTTTTTATTTGTGACATAACGTTAAGTAAAGTTCAGACGTATACTTACGAATAATTATGAGTTTAAAAATATCACTCATACGTAACCTTTAGATTTAGGTCTTACTTTGTCGATCGATTTTTATCATTATTTTTAGTTTCTTTAATATTATTGCTTACTTTTCCCGATCTACAATAATTATTTTCAATCATGAAGCGATTTCATGTTATGTTTACAAAAATATGATTAAATCCTTGATAATATTCCGATGGGTTTAGGTTTAATAATTGCAAAAATGATAAATATTATTTATAATAATATGTTCACATCATAAATATCGATCTAAAAACGAAAAGACACAGTTGTAGTTTCACCAATTCACTCTGAATATATAAAAATTTTAAACTTGCCTTTTGGGAAATGTCGGATAATGTAGTATACGAATAAATGTTCACATATGTATGTCTGTTTCTAAAATGTTTAATTTTTAGGCGCCTAATACTGAATACCGGTTCCCACCAGCCATTAGTGTGCAACGTTTGGCACCACAAGTGCAGCGTCAACTGCGCGAAACTCAAGAACTCATTAAAGACTCATGTCCACAACTATATGCTGCTGGTTATGGTAGTCCTGGGCCACCGCCGCTACGCAATCAAGCGGCTGTCACAGCGCGTAATCATCCAACCAACAGAAGACCTACCCTGGAGACACAATTCTCCCAGGAACTCTCGTGATATCTACACAATTAACACAAACAGTAAAACAAAACAAACACATACATACTTACATACATAAATACATTAGTAAACTAAAGCTAATTAAGCCAAAAATTTAGCACGTTAACAAATTAAGTTAAAAAAACAAAACCATAAGCGAAAGGACAAAAAATAAAATTAAATAACAAAAAGTAAATTTAACGTAAAATGCATTAGAATCACAGAGTGGCAGAGTTGATTAAGCAGGCACCACCACTAAGGCGGTGAATATACATTAACGTAGACAATTTAGGCATAACTGGACTTGGTGAAGAGTCAAAGCAAGACATGAGTTTGCAAGAAGTCAAATTGTGTACTTTAACATTCTTAATATTACAGAAAAGTGAAAACAAAATAAAAAATTTCGTTAAATACTAATTCAGAATAATTAAATAAAATTAAGAAAAAAATTAAGCCAAATAATTAAAAGTGAAAAATCATCTAGAAGAAATCACACATAAATTACATAATACCAAAAAAAAAACAAAAAGAAGGACTCAGTTTTTGATTAATTTACAAATTTACCAAATATTTTGGATTTAACGTAATATCTTGCTCGCTCTCTCCCTCTTTATAAAATGTACACTCATTCAAATTTACCCATAATAACTCGTATTAAATTACATTACATCTGCCGTAGTAACATGATCATTTCAATTTATCTAAGTTTCTTGCGCTAAGAACCAAATACCGGAAAAATAAAAGAACTGTAATAAACGATCGCCTCCTCTATTATTTCCTTTCTGTTATATAATCGATCACACAACCATGCCTACATCTTACTATATAAACATTTATACTCGTATTCGAACATGTACCGTCGTTATATTTATTATTATTATTATTTACAAAATCCTGATGCACCATATAGGAATTACTACGTATACAAACAAAAACAAAAAACCGGAAATAAAAACAAAAACATTATTTATTAAAATACTAAATAAATACAAAACACTCGTATTTGCATCGTTCTAAATTTAAATAAAAAACAAATATTAAGAAATTAATAAATTATATATAAATTAATAAAAAAAGAAGAAAAAAAAAACAATGTACCAAATAAATAAACCCAATGAGAATTATAATTGTTTTACTTTTGTGCGTTTGATGTACTGTACTGCAACATAAACAACAACAACAAAAAACCAAAAAAGAAAAACTTTATAATCGTACTTGTATTGTATTTTAAGTAATTTTAAAAAAATATTAAACAAAAAGTAAATTATTATTATTATGATAATGTGTAGCATATTATTATTAATTATTATTATTTATAATTAAATTATTATGATTATTATTAATAAATTATTGTATTTATAATTAATATAATTTAATTGATTATGATCATTATTAGTTCTATATACTCTAATTTGATGTAAAATAGTTTTTTCTTATAAAACCAAAAACAAAATGAAATTATTAATAATAATAATGAAGCCAAAAGAAAAAAATAACAACAATATAATAAATAAATAAAAGACGATGATGATGTTAGAGTGGAATTTTTCTTAATACATAATAAATTAAATACATTTAACCCTATTCGGCATTTCAATATTTTGCGTGTGTATTCTACATTGCTATCGTAGATCTGTTTTTTCGGGAACATAATCGTAATGTAGAACAGGTATTGGTATTATTGGAATTTTGTCCAACTTACAAAAACGTAGCTGCGATCGTATTGCAGAATACACACAATCGTAAAGCATTGAAGCGGTATTCAATTGCTTATTCCTTATTGATGATTCCGTTTGGTTGTTAGAATACCTTTTTACGATTGTTGCATAAATGAACGATCAAACGTAATCGAAATATTGAAAAGGGATGACTATTACTATGATTTTCCCCGAAAAATATTGATTGCAAAACAGAGGGGAGTTTACATAAAAATGTTAATATAAATAAATAATAGATATAATTTGTTGTTCTTCTAGGCCGAGAACTACAAATAAAGCCCAAATACATTGCTTACGCTTGTCTGATATACACCATCGGCGAAAAAAAAATTTAAAGCTGGAGGTCTACACCATGCGTCTTCGCGGCATAGCATTTCGTGCTTTTCATATCTTCTTTGCATCCTACGCATCAAGTTTCATGCTTTTTTTGCTTTATTTACAAAAAACTTCGGGTTTTTTAAGTTTTTTATTTATATTTTCACTATTTAACTCGTTTTTGTTTATTAAAATTGAAAATACACATTAAGGGCCAATCTTTAGGTGAAAGATTAGCGATTAAATTAAAATTAATCCTCGAAAGTTGTCTTTGAGTACTCAATTCAGTGATGCCAGGAGATTTTTTTTAGAAATCCCTACGCTTATGAGAAAAAATCCCTTTTTTCCCTACACCCACTTTTTATTTTCCCTACATTTTTCCCTACACTACTTTTTTCCAAGTTTATCTTAAAAAAATACAAAAATAACATAAAAAACTAAAATATTAGCTCCGTTTTATAATATACATATATACATATATATGTATTTTTTTTAATTTTTAGGAATGAAATTTCTAGAATTTAAATTTAAAATTTTTTTCTTTCAATTTTACATCATACAAATCTTCCAACCCTGACTCTTCAGTTAGGATTAAAAAACAAAACAATTGAAAGATTTATGGCAGTATCACGATTCGATGTTAAAAATTTATTTTATGTGCCCCCAACAAAAAAATTTTCATAAAATAATTATTTTAAATAAGGTTTACTTTTGCGTTTACTTTTTGCGATTTATTTTATAAATTTTCAGAACATTAAATCTATATGAAAGATTTTAGTATGTCGCATGTTTTGTAGACCTCAGTTCAAGAAACCCGAATTTTGGATTATGCCAGTCTTGTAGCGATATGTAGCTACATATATTGTAGAAATTACAATCGGAATTTTTACTAACGATACACTTAAAACTGATTTCATTTTTAATTTTAAAGTTTAATACATGCAAGGGTATATTTTTAGTTGTTAAAAACTATGAAATTGAAAAATCCCTACAATTTGACAATAGTAAGAAATCTTTCCCTTTTTCCCTACACGTGAAATTTTTGAAAAAAATCCCTACAAAAAGGGAAAAATCCCTACACTTGGCATCACTGACTCAATTAGTTAATTTTGTTTGCAAGTTTAAGCGCCCAATAGAGGTGGTTTAAACTTAAACATGAAATGCAAAAGTGTAAACAGCTGATGCAAAAAACATTAAAAAACATAAACATTAAAATGTTCTATTTATTGATTAGTATAAATTTTGTTTTCATTAATTTTCATATTAAATTTACAATTGTCTTCTTTTTTATAAAACATGCATTGTTTCGACCACAGATATAACGTTTCGACAACAAACAGTAACATTTTCTGTTGTTTTGCATGGCAACACTGCGAAGTTTAATCTTGTACTCAAAAACATCAAAGGTGATTAACATCAGATTAAATTTATGATTAGATTAACTAATCTGATTATTAATTGGCATTTGATTTCCACCTCAAAAACCCGCTCTTAAAATAAAATATAAATTGTCAAAATCAGCTGACATTTCGTGGCCGTCTACGCGTCAACGCATCCTACGCTTTTGTGCTTGTAACTTGTAGCACACAACAACATTGATTCTATTTTTTTGATAGCCGCGTAGAATACGAAGAAGGTATGACCTTGTAATCAAACTACATATTGAAATTTGATGGAAGATAACTGAATTTACGTAGCCCAGACCAACCGAAGAGCTCATAAATATATTTAATATCGGCAGAACTAACTTCTATATTACAAATTATTGAGCTTTATTTGGCCCTAGCCCCCTTTCAAAGACCCTTTAAATAAACATAAATCCCGCCAATAAATTTTGTGAGGATTGGTTCAAATTTTACCCTATCCCCCATATACATATACTTTCCGGAAATTAAGATTTTCGTCAATATATTGCTTAACCCTTTCGGTTTTTCTATGCCATATGGCAGTCAGTTTTGAAGCCCGTTTAAGGCAAAATAAAAATTAAAAGTTTGCCTGTGTGAACCGGCACTAACAAAATTTCGAGAAGGACAGGAAAGGAAAATTAAGGTCCGGCACTTAGAAATTTAATAAATTTGGGATGGCAACGCTGCTGCCAGAAACTTGGCAGCATTGTATAAGGCATTAAGTTTCCACATAGAAGTTAGGATTCTATAAATCGACTTTCGATTAATCGAACAATCGACTTTTTATCGAAAAAAGTCGAAAAGTCGCAGTCGACTATTTTGTTCCAAAAAAGTCGTTAACTCGACTATCGTCTATGAAAAAGTCGTCTTTGTAATAAAAGTCGAAAAAAGTCGGAAAGTCGAAAAAATTCGATAAGTCGAAAACTCGAAAAAAGTAGAATAAAGTAAAAAATAGTCGAAAATTTTAAAAATGTGGACAAAAATTCAAAAACTCTAAAATAGTATGTAAAACTCGAAAAAAGTCAAAAAATAGTCGAAAAAAGTCGAAAGAAGTCGAAAATAGTCGAAATGTCGAAAAGTCGGAAAAAATCGAAAAAAAAAAAGTCGAAAAGTCGACTATTTATAAAATACTTAAAGTGTATTTTTAATACCCGTTAATAAAACAACCTTTTGATAAAACAGCAAACCCTAACAGCTGTTTTTGATTGTTGTGTGGTGAGTTTCTGTAAAAACGTAAACAAATGAAACAAAAACAAATTACTAGACATATTTATTTTGTGTTAAGAAAAATTTATGTATTTTAATAATGTTTTATAGCCAGTGCAAGTGTTCTTGGTGTACACCATCTACCCCAATAATAATCCCGGTTTCATTAGAATCAAGTATTTTTAAAACGGCCATATATAATGTACAATTCATTCTATATTCCATGACTGGTTGAAAGAGTCACGGAATCCACCGGAGATCAACCTAAAAAATGAAAAAGGGGTGGCTTTAACTTCTTGTTCCGTTCATATGGGACAAGATTCGAGTCTCATCGTATCAGTTCGCCAGATACCTCATTTGTGTATATTGCAGGGTCCTGGTACCAAACACAGCCTTATTGTAAACGGTCTCATAATAATACTTAGATCTTTTCTTCATTCTACGACTATGCAAGAATAAAGCTATGACATATTAATGCTTTAAATGCAGCATGACTATCAACCTAAAATCTTACCAGAGACCGGCGAACAATGTGATTCCCTATTAGTTCCGTCACTTTCAAGATCGCTAAATCACCACTTGGAAGACACAACCCATCAGGGAGTCAAGGAACATTTTACACCGTTTGTAACACATTGAAATATTGGTCTAATATATATAAAAGTATATGCTGGGATCTTATTACAGTCTAAGATTGAGTTTGTTATTGAAAATGGACAATATCGGTATACGATAAACTCATCAGGGAGCCAAGGAACTTTTACACCGAAATATTGGTCTAAAATCCATAAAAGTATAGACTAGGATCTTAGCCAATATTTGCCAAAATATTTTTAGTTGATGGAGTTTATTATTGAGCTTCAATATTCCAGTATAGCGAAGAAGAACGACAAAAACAAGTTTTATAGGAACTAAAAACTTTTTGCCAAATTTTATGAGGATCAGGAAATTATTTTACAAGATTTATATGATCCAAAACCTTTCTGGGTTGGTTCAAAATTGACCCTACCCCCATATAAGTTCCCCTTCAGAAAAAGATATTAACTCCAATAATTGTAATAAAAATACCAATATAGCAAAGAAATTCCACATAAACAAGGAGTCAACATCGTTTTGTCAAATTTAAGGGGATCGGTCCATAATTTAACCTATCCCCGATATAAGGTCCACCTCGGGAAATTACTACCACTCATAACTGGCTTAAAAAATAGCTATAAAATTCGACAACAACTTTTATATGAAACAAAATTTATCTGTTGAATTTCGTAAGGGTCGGTCCACAGTTGACCCTACCTGAAATCTCAAACAGATTATGCCATCCAATTTCTACACTTCCGACTTAAGGTTCTATATATGTTTTTATCGTGCAAAGATCTTCCGATAGCAGTTATATATAATTTTCTATATACGGATATAGTCACATTTTTTGTAAAAAAAGTTTGTTGCTGTAGTACACACCCTAGAACGATGAAATCCACAAAACAAATTATGCCATCCGATTTGTATATTTCCAACTTAAAGTTCTACATAGGTTTTTATCGTGCACAAGATCGTCCGATAGCAGTTATATATAATTTTCTATATACT